ATGTGAGTGCTCTGTCCCCGTCCCAGAGTGGGGGGTAGTTGCTCCCTATGGCCCACTCAGCGCTGTGAACTGGGTGCTCCTCCCTGGTGACGGATGTGCCCTCTCACCTCACTCAGCCCTGGAGGTCTGAGCCGTTCTGTGACGCTCCTCCTCACTGTTGGCCCTGTTTCTCTGCCAGCCTCTCAGGAAGGGACATGATTGGCATTGCATTCACTGGCTCTGGGAAGACCTTGGTGTTCACCCTCCCGGTGATCATGTTCTGCCTGGAGCAGGAGAAGAGGCTGCCATTTTCCAAGCGGGAGGGACCCTATGGACTCATCATCTGTCCCTCGGTGAGTGTCAGGGGGGATGGTGGCACGTGAGAGGAAGCTTTTCAGGGGCAATCCCAGATTCTCCCCGCAAGGAGGTGTAGGAATAAGTGAGTTTTGTCTCTGCAGCGGGAGCTGGCCCGGCAGACCCATGGCATCATTGAGTACTACTGTCGCCTGCTGCAGGAGGACGGCCTGCCCCCGCTGCGCTGCGCTCTCTGCATTGGGGGCATGTCTGTTAAGGAGCAGATGGAGACAATCAAACAGTAAGACCTCCTGGGGTGGGTTTGTGAGGCTGGAGCTGTGCTCTTGTTTCTGGCAGGGGATTAAGGGGTGGCACCCTGGCTAGATGTAGCTTCAGGAAGGTGTAGGGATGAAGGTGATGTGCCAAGTGGGTGCTACCTTCCCTCTGTATTGCTGCATGGGGCAGGAATCTGAGTGCCTGACTGTGGCCTTCTCTCATCTCACAGTGGTGTACACATGATGGTGGCAACCCCAGGCCGCCTGATGGACCTGCTGCAGAAGAAGATGGTGAGCCTGGACATCTGCCGATACTTGGCCTTGGATGAGGCTGACAGGATGATTGATATGGGCTTTGAGGGGGACATCCGTACCATCTTCTCCTACTTCAAGGTACTGAGCTGGCGTGGTACGAGCACCCTCAGGCTCCATCCCTGCACCCTTCTGGTCGGGTGGGTGCTAAATCCTTGCCCACACTGTGTTCCCCATGCAGGGCCAGCGGCAAACCCTCCTCTTCAGTGCCACAATGCCCAAGAAGATCCAGAACTTCGCCAAGAGTGCCCTGGTGAAGCCCATCACCATTAACGTTGGGCGAGCGGGTGCTGCCAGCCTGGATGTTGTGCAGGTGAGGTACCTGGGAGCTCCCCCCTGCCCGTGTGGGAGGCCAGCGCTGTTCGTGAGGGCGCTTGATGCGTCCCATGTCAGAGAGCTGGGTTTTGTGGCCCTTCTTCCCAAGAGGTTAAGGGATACCAAGCAACAGCAGTTTCTCTGCTGCCTGCCTGACTCATTTCTATGCTTGTTCCTAGGAAGTGGAATATGTGAAAGAGGAGGCCAAGATGGTGTACCTCCTTGAGTGCTTGCAGAAGACCCCGCCGCCCGTGAGTAGCGTGCTCTGGCAGAACGGCTTGGGGCAGCGTGGGCACACCACAGCCCCGGGGCACGGGTGGAGCTGGCAGTGGGGATGTGGCCATGATGCCGCAGGGCTCTGCCGTGCGTGGGGCAGGTGTGTGAGTGAGCTGTGCTCCATCTGTGAGCAGGTCCTGGGCCCAGAGCTGTTGTGTGCTCCGCTTGGCGAGAGGGAATGGGTTTCCTGGGGGGTTGTGCTGGTGCCAGCAGTTCCTGCCCACAGAAAAGTGGCTCTTACGTGATGTCTGTGCTGCCGCAGGTGCTGATCTTTGCAGAGAAGAAGGCGGATGTTGATGCGATCCATGAGTACCTGCTGCTCAAGGGTGTAGAAGCTGTGGCTATCCATGGAGGGAAAGGTCAGTGAGGGTCTCGGGGAGGCCTGAGCTGCGGTGTGGCCCTGCCGGGGTGGTACGTGGCCTCAAGAGGCCCCAGCGTGCAGCAGTTTGTGGTGGTGTGAGGAGGGGCTGTGGCAGTGTCAGGAATCTGGGCTGCGGAGGCCTGCTCCCTGTGGGGGGGAGGTTTGGTTGAACGATCCATGGCTCTGAGGCCATGGTGGTTGCTGCAAGACGTAGGGCTGGGAGCTCTGCCCTTGCTGATCTTTTCTGCTGGGCCTCTGCAGATCAGGAGGAACGGACAAAAGCCATCGAGGCCTTCCGGGATGGGAAGAAGGATGTCCTGGTTGCCACTGACGTCGCTTCCAAGGGCCTGGACTTCCCAGCCATCCAGCATGTCATCAACTACGACATGCCGGAGGAGATTGAGAACTATGGTGGGGACTGGGTCCTGTGGGGCACCAACGAGGGCACGGCAGGGCGGGTGCAGGCTGGCAAGGCTCTGCGCTTGTCTCTGCGGTGGCTGGGCACTGGGGTGGTCTGTCATGTTGCGTTTGCTCAGGCCTGATCCTGTTCTTTTTCTTCACAGTTCACCGTATCGGGCGTACAGGCCGCTCGGGCAACACTGGCATTGCCACCACCTTCATCAACAAGGCCTGTGGTGAGAAACGGCGTGGGGCTGGGGGCTGGCTGCGGCAGGGCTGCAGCTGTAGGAGCTGGAGCTGGGTGACAGAGCTGCCTTGGCAAGGGGGGGTGATCCTGAGCAAGCAGGGATGAGTCAGGATGGCCTGTGGAGGGGAGATGGCGACATGGGGCTGTGCCCACCACCCTTGCTCGGGCTGTGTCTGACCCGTCCATGTCTCTGCCCCCAGATGAGTCGGTGCTGATGGACCTGAAGGCCCTGCTCCTGGAGGCAAAGCAGAAGGTGCCGCCTGTGCTCCAGGTGCTGCACTGCGGGGACGAGACCATGCTGGACATCGGAGGTGAGAGACCCCGGGCTGGCACAGGGACCTCCCCGCCCTGGGGGCTGTTGCTGCCTGGCCACGCGGCAACGCTGCTGTAGCCCCTCTGCTTCTGGGGTGTGGGGGCCGCTCTGGCGTGGCACAGCTCTCCCTGACCTCGTCCCTCCCATTGCAGGCGAGCGGGGCTGCGCCTTCTGCGGCGGCCTGGGCCATCGCATCACCGACTGCCCCAAGCTGGAGGCCATGCAGACCAAGCAAGTCAGCAACATCGGCCGCAAGGACTACCTGGCCCACAGCTCTATGGACTTCTAGCCTGGGGAGCGTGCTGCCCAGCGCTCCCCCCGCACGGGCCTCGGCTCCCTTTCAGCCAGGGCAGCGCCCCAGCTGCACTCACCTTTCCCAAGCCCAAGGGCCTGTCCTGCACTGCTGTGGCCCCTTTTCCAGGGATTGGGCCACCGGGGCTGTTGACATCTCAGCCTGATGAAGCTCCTGCCCCCAGAGGAAACGTGTGGAGCTGTGCTGCAACAACCTGTTACATCAGCAGCGTCAGCAGCGTGTTGGGCAAGCAGGTAGCGGTGCCTGAGGGGAGGAGAAAGCCTCAGGTGGGGCGATTGATCTGTGGCCAGCTGCCTGCTGCCCCTACCAGCCCCCAGCAGTGGCATGGCCAGCGGCCCATGTCGCTCCTCTCCAAAGCCCCTCAGTTTCTCCAGGACTGTCTGCCTTACCTGGTTTTGTGCATCCTCAGCCAGTGGCTGTTCCTGTGTCCCCCAAACGCGCTCTGCTGCAGCCAGGGTGAGGTGGAGTGTGCTGTGCTCGTGTCGGGCGGTCCCCTAAGTGCTTCCTGTGCTCTGCCTGCACGCGTTCTGCCCCACTGCCCTCTGCAAGGGGGAGGGCGGACAGACGGACACCTCCTGTGGCCCAGCCTCTGCCCCTCATCCCACACACCAAAAAGGGGAAGTTGCTGAGAGAAGGAAGTCTGCCCCATGCAATTGCTTTGGCTGCAGCAGTCACATTTTCTCCGCTGCTGGTAGTCTGAGTCCTTGATCCTTGTGCCAGCTGCCAGGGCGGCGCTGGGCCCATGGAGAGACCGGTGAAGGATGGGATCCTCTATGTGCAGCACTGCAAATTTGGAAAGGTAAAGGGTGGATTTGAGGCTGGGTACAGGGTTGGCCCTGATCTCTCTTGACGCCAGGCCTGGGGCTGGGCCCTCGGCAGCCTGGCGTAGTGGGGACTGGGAGCCAGACCCCTCGGAGCTGCCCTGGGTGGGCCTTGGGCTCCACAGCCCCAAGAGCAGGGCTCTCCCCACGGCTGAGGGGACTCATCTGTGCAGGCACCTGCTCAGGCTTGCCCCTGCGCGCAGGGTCCCTCTTCTTGCTTGGTCACCGTGTGCTTCGTAGTGGAACAATAAATGCGTGTTAATGAGGTGCAGCTCCAGCGTGTGTGTGGGAGTGGGGCACTGGGGCAGCATGTGGGGCGCAGCTCTGTGTGCAGCCCTCCATTAGCCTGGCCCTGGGGGGAGGCCAGTGCCATCCATGGGGCACCCCACCCAGCCTAGCCTGCTGCTCTGGGCCCTTGGGGTGGGCACTGTGTTCCACAGCCCTCTGGGCATGGTACCGCTGACATGGTGGGAGTCCCCGCAGGGTTGGGCCAGCTCTGGGGAGCTGTGAGGTGGGTGATGGTGAAGCAGGTGCTGCTGGTGCGCTGGCCTTGCCTTAGCGGCATCCCCTCTACCACGGCGGGGTGGCCGTGCCCTGATGGGGGGCTCAGGGGATGTGCTGGACTATGATCACACCCCAACCACACCGCAGAGCGAGACCCAAGTCCTGGAGATGAAGCGGGCGGTCTGGGGGCACAGGGCTGGTGCCCTGTGTGTAGGAAGCAGGCGGGCTGACGGTGGTGGGTATTTTGGGTGCTTGGCTGCATCTGGTTTCTGCAGGGCGGAGGCTCTGCTGTGCTTTTGAGGTATGTGGAGGCACGCGCCCCCTCTATCCCATGATGGGCTGGGAAGGTGCTGGTGCAGCAAAGCCTCCCCTGGGAGGAAGCGGGCTGTGAGCTGCAGGGCCTGACCATGCTTGGCAGATGTGAGGCTGCCAGCAGCAGCCTCAGCGGCTCAAAATGGCTTTAATTTGCATCGGAGTCTGTCCTGAGAACAGCTCAAGAGCTCAGCTGCAGCGGCGGCAGGCCAGCACTTGCAGTAGGGAACAAAGAACAGGACCTGGTGCTCAGCGAGCCGGGAGCAAGCGTGACTCACCCAGCAAGCCGGGCCGAGCTCACTCAGGGCAAGGCCCCCTCCTCGACCCAGCTTTCGGACTGCCCTGCCCCACAGCCCCGGGGGTCTGCGCTGGCCCCAGCTGGAGCTGGCAGGTCTGGGCAGGGACCCCCTCCTGCCCCGCACAGCTCTTCCTGAAGCACTGCCAGCCCCACATGAAGGGCAGTGCTGTGAGGACGCAGCAGGCAGATCTTTGCTGACCCTTTTTTTCCTTGCCTGTGCCCTTCCCATGCCCCAGAGGTCCTGGAGGAAGATGCGAGCCCAGCTCTTTGCCGCCAGCTCCTCCGGCGTGGCCCGCATGGAGAAGTTTGACGTGCGAGATGATGGCACGGTGCTGGAGAAGACCTCTCTGCGGCGGTGCGCCCGCCGGGTGATCCGCCTCTCGGACTGCATCTCCGTGGGCCCAGCAGGCACGGAGAGCTGCCCCAAAGCCACCGCTGCCTTCTACCTCAACACCACAGAGAAGAGCTACGTGCTGGCAGCCGAACAACGAGATGAGTGGATCGCCCAGCTCTGCCAGCTGGCCTTCCAGGTAGTGTGGGGTCCGGCATCGCCGTGACCCCTCGTGCCACTCCTCGCTTGGGCGAGTCAGGGGTCTCTGGTGTGTGAGGGCAGGCACAGGGGCTTGTGCTCCCCCAGTCCAGGGACCATGCTCCCATCCCTCTTTTTTTCAGGGCGTGAAGGAGATGGCGCAGAGCAGTTCCAGGACCCAGCCCAGCCTCGCTATCCCCATGGAGGAGAACTCCCTCTACTCCTCCTGGCAGGACTGTACGTGTAGGGGCAGGGGATAAGGCTGGTATGGGCTCCAGCTCAGTGCCGTGGTGCTGACCTCCACCTTGCTTTGCTCCCGTAGTGACTGAATTCCCAGTGCTGGTGGTCCAGACGGATGCGGCCACCCGCTGTGGCCTTCACGGGCACTACCTGCTCTCGGCCCTTCCCCAGAGCCTGACGCTGAAGGATGCGCAGTCCCGCCAGCCCCTGCTCACCTGGCCCTACACCTTCCTCCGCAAGTTTGGCCAGGATCAGGTGCGTGCTCCCTTCCCTCCTCGGGGCTGCTGCCTGCCCAGGGTGGGTGCCAGCCCCTCACCCTGCCCTCTGGCCCCACAGACCACCTTCTCCTTTGAGGCCGGCCGCCGCAGTGACTCGGGTGAGGGCACCTTCACCTTCAGCACCCCGCGGGCCCCGGAGCTGTGCCGAGCTGTGGCCGCTGCCATCACCTGCCAGCAGCAGGGCAACGATGCCCCAGACCCCCGGCCCTTCTGTGCCCCGGACCCCCAGCTCTCTGCCCAAGGCCTTGAACCCCAGCCCTGGGGCCCAGGAGCCGAGGATCCCCAGCCAAACCCACTCCTTGGGGGAGCACAGCCTGCCTCCCACCCTCCTGCCAGCATCCTCCACTTCACCCCACTGGAGCCAGAGGGCACAGGCCCCATCGTTTATGCCTCCATCGCCCGGGGCCAGCAGCCCCTCTTTGCATCGGGGCAGCCAGGCTCCAGGGAGCCCTGGGCCCCAGGCAAGCCGCTCCCTGAGCATCTCTACGAGAACATCTTCACCGCCGAGCCGGGTCCTGCTGGGACAGAAGAGGAGGAGGAGGAAGAGCGGTGGCAGCTGGAGTGCCGGCAGGCCCCTGAGGGCCACAGTAATGAATCAGGCCCCATCTATGATAACCAGGCTGCCCTAGCCCAGCTCCCCCGGGGCAGCCCCCAGCCCCCCGAGCAGCACTGGGGCCGGGGCGGGGAGGAGGTGGCGCTGCCGGGGCGCTCTGGGCACAAGCCTCAGAGCAACCTCCGGGCCAAGCTGGTGCGGCTGCTTAGCCGGGAGAGTCCGGGCCCCCGGGACTGGGCCTGAGGCTGGGCCGGGCGCTGTTCGGTGGTGCGGTGCAACGAATAAAGAGCCTGGGCCGGACTCGGCTCTGCCGGTGCTGCGGGGGCCGGTCCCGGGCGGGTGGGGCCGGCTGGGGGGGGGGGGGGGCAGCCCGCGCCTCCCCGCCAGGGGGCGCCGCCGTCCCCGCCCCGGCCGGCAGGCGCACGCGGTGATTGGCTGAGCCGTCCGACGGCTCCGCCCCGCCTCATTCCTATATAAGGTGGGGCCGGGCCGGGGTGGGGGGGGCGGTGCCCGAGTTCGAGCCCCGCGTCCGCTCCGCTCCGCTCCGCGCTGCGGCGCCGCCCGCTCGGCCCCGCTCGGCCCCGCTCGGCCCCGCTCCACCGGGGGCCCGGCCGGCCGCGGGTGAGTGAGCGCGGGAGGGCCGGGGGGGGGGGGGGAGGTGGGGGCAGGAGGGGTGCAGGGCTGAGGCCTGGGTCTGGGGGAAGGCGGTTGGTCGGGGGTCGGGCCCCTGTGGGGCAGGGCTGGGACCGGATTTAGGGCCGGGGGCGCCGTGGGGCAAAGCTGAGAGGCAGGGCCGGGGTCCCCCATCCTGGGGAAGGGAGGTTGTGTGGGACGGCGTGGGGAGGGGGCCCGGGGGGTTCCCTCGGGAGCGCAGCCCGGTTCCCCAGCCCCGCGGGGGGGCTGCCCGCCGTTCTGGGCCGCCCCGGTGCCGGCGCCTCGCTGGGGCTTTTACGCGGCTGCCGGGCGCCGGGAACGCCTGACACGCAGCCTCCGCCTGGCCCTCCCGAGCGGGGACCGGGCTGGTGTCGTCTTACACGCCTTATATAGCCCGCACCGGCCCGGGGAGAGCGGGGGCACGCTGGCCCCCGGTCCTGCAGCCTCCGCCACCTCCCAGCTGGGAGCCCCGCCGTCCCTTGAGAGGGGCGGGGGGAGCCCCGGGACCGCGGAGCTGGCCCTGTCCCCCGCCTAGCAGCGGCAGGAGGAAGGTCCTGGGGGGGCTTCGCAGGGGCCTGGCGGCTTCTTGCAGGTGAGGGGTGGCCGGGAGGCCGGGGCTGGCCTGTTTGCCCACAGCCTTGGCCGGTTGACAGCTGTCAGCGCGGCCCCGGCTGGCAGCGGATGGCCGGGGTTCCCTCCCCGCCGGAGCCCCGGCTTTGTGCGCGGGGATGGGCTCGCTCCCGGGTAGCATCTGCTCGGCCGGCTGCCGGAGCGCCAGCCGGGCTGCTCTGCCAGGCGCCTCGGGTGGCATCGCGCAGCTCCTGCGCTGCTGCTGCTAATTGACTGTGCAAAAACACTTCTGGTTCCCATCCTTCCCTACCTGCTGTCGTTTCTCTGCAGTCTGAAATGGTCTCGGCATCCGGCAGCAGGAGTTTCTGGGGTGCTGCAAGGGAGAGCATGTCCCGGGTTTGGGAAAGGGAGAGCAGAGCCCATGGGCCCTCCACTGTGTACGGCAGCAGGGCTGTGCCTGTCTCTGGCACTTGTTGACGTTAGCCTGGGCCCCTCGGCTCTGCTGCTGATGGAGGAGATGCTGATGGATTTGGGGTGCGTCTCTAACCACGGTGTAGGATGGTCAGGGTGGAGTTATTGCTGGAAACATGACCTGCCATGTCCTGCCAGGCACTGGGCCCCCTCCTCGCTTGCTCTCCCTGCCTTGTTCCCACATACCCTAATGCCAAGATTACACCCTCTTCCCTTGCAGAGATGGGTGATATGGAGTCCTACAAGGTGATGCTGAACGGGCCGGCGCCCTGGGGCTTCAGGCTGCAGGGAGGGAAGGATTTCAGCATGCCACTTTCCATCTCCAGGGTAAGAAAAGCCCAGACCGGTGACACTCATTCTTCCTCCTGTCTCTGGGGGTGGGAGGCCATAGTGGCTACATCCAGGTGGCTGGAGCAGAGCTGTACGGGGGATGCAGATGAGGCAGAGCCCCGGGAGTGCTGCATCCTGCCCTGCCTGGCTCCGCATAGCCTCCTTGGTGCCTTATCAGCTGCAGTCTGGCACGGGGGTGTTCCGGGCAGAGGACCGCAGCAGAGATGTGAAATGCTGCACAGCATCTGCAGAGTCATTCTGGCTGCTGGGGGGGCAGGGGAGGCCCTTTCCGGAGCGGACCCACCACAGGGGGAGGGGAACTGCTTTCACTGTCTCCCAGCTGTGGGGCCAGCCTCCCGGTCTGTATCCCAACACTGGGCTCAGCATCCTGTAACCCGGCTTGTGCCCTTCTGCCCTCCCTCCCGCTGCACGACTCCCAGTTCTGCACCTGAGCTGGCCCCCGCTGCGGGCAGGGAGGGGAGGAAGCCTGTGCTGCTGCCCACAGTGCTGCCTGCACTGGGACGTGGCTCCTTCCACAAAAGCAGCCCGTTTCTCCAGCGTAAGCGAGAGCTGTTGTGCTGCCAGCTGGTTGCAGCTGAGGCACCTGGTGTGAACCGCTCCTGGTGCGATGCTTACCCCGGCCAGGTCTTGCTCCTGGGTGTGTGTGGGTCCCTGTCCCTGGGTGGCCCAGTCCCCGGGGTGGGTGCTGGCCACGACTCCAGCCACACAATTGCCTTATAAGCCTTGGAATGCAACTGCATCGCCCGTGCCGCTGACGCTGAGGCAGCTGGCACAGAGGCAGCTTCTCAAAGGACAGCTTTGCTCGTGACACTGAGTGCTGCATGGGGGCCTGCCCCCGGCATGTGCCCGGCACCAGGCTCCTGTCCTGGAGAGCGTGGGTCTCTGCAGCACCCAGGGCACCCAGCATGGACCCTGAGGGCACTGTGCAAGGCCGGAGTCGACAGTGCTGTTGCCCTGGGGCCTGTTGATCTCTGCTGAGCACACAGAGATGGCTTCAGCAAGTTTATTCTCTAAAAAATGTTTCTCTTGGCTGCGAGCCAGCGCTTAACAAAGGGTCTGGTCGGATGGAGGAGCCTCCCAGGGCAGGGGCCTTGCGAAGCAACGATCCACTGTACAAGCAGGCCAGTGCTGCCCTCGGGACTTGGGTAATGCTGCCATCCTGGACAGGGCAGGCAGGAGCAGCAAGGACATTTCTAGGGGATGGAGCCAGTTTTGGGGAGCTCTCTGGTGAGGCTGGGCTGCGTGGCATGGTGGTGGGCTCTGTCTGATGGGAAGGGGTGACCCTGTGCTGCTTTGTGCCCCAGAGGCATCCCCAGCCCTAAAGCTCCTGCCTGAAGCATGTTGCCGTCCTTGGACGCTGCTTGCCTTGAGCAAGGGCACTGCTGGCAGGGCAGGCTATCCTGCTGAGCCTGGGGCTGCCTGAGCGGGCTGGAAGGAGGTGTCCTGCCCCAGCTTTGGGGGCTGCAGCGGGGTCCCGCTCTGTGGAGCTGGGGAGCACAGGGGGAAGGCAGCACTGGCGTGTGCTGTGGCTCTTGGATGCTTCCATTGCTGTGACACTGGTGGGTGAGCTCTGAGGCTGCTTCAGCTCGGTGATCACACAAAAGAGATGCTGCCTTGGTCCTCTGCTCACAAGTCTGTCGTGGCAAGGGCCTCTGCTGGGATCCTGACACCTTGGCTAGACAGGCTGCGAGACCGCGGTCCTGAGCTGCTTGTGGTAGAGCCAGGGTAAGGGCTGGGTGGTGTGTGACACATCCTGGCGTCTGCCGGCCGAGGAAGTGGAGAGACCCTCAGTGCTGCAGGTGGGAAGGTGCTGGGCGATGCTGCCTGGGCCCTTGTGCAGGCACCCAGCTCCTCTCCATGCTGGGTGAGGCTTTGTCCAGGATGCCAGAGCCCTGGATGGGGGTGGCCGGTGGGCACCTCGCTGGGTGCGGGGATGGAGGTTTTGGGAAACAAAGGACTGGCTGGGCGGAGAGGGAAGGAAGGAAGCCCTGGTTAGCAGGGCCAGGAGGGAAGCGGGAGGGCTGGCACTGCCACAGCTCCTGGCTGAGCTGGCACCTGCCGAAGGGGTTTCCTGGCGTGCCGGCGCAGAGGGGGAAGGGGAGCGCAGCGGCGCTGGCCGGGCTGGGTGCGGCTGTGTGACGCAGCCTGCTGCGTTCTCCCCTTCCCGGGCGGCCGTGTGAAAACCTCTCCCAGCTCCCGCTCCTGCCTCCAAACCCACGCAGCCGCCCCGCGCCTTCCCCAGCCCTCCAGGGCAGCAAGCCGGGGCTTGCAGCAGCGTGGCCAGGAGCCGGCCGGCGCCGCTTGCCACCCAGGGCACCCTCCCGTGCTGGGCAGGAGCAGCGGGCGCTGGGTGGCACAGGGGCACCCGTGTCCCACCGGGGACGGCAGCAGGATGCACATGGAGCTGGGCTGCATCCAGCCCGGGTGTGGGGTTTGGCCTCACGTGGAGGGCCGGTGGCGGTGCGGGGAAGGGGAGCACAGCTTTGGGGTGAGCCGGGCCCTGCGCACGGGCAAGGAGGGGCCAGGGCTTGGCGGCAGGGATTTTTCAACTCTCTGACGGCGCTGGGAATCTGGCTCGCTCCTTTTATGTTCATGTCGAACAGGACTTGAGGAAATACTTGGTCCAGGTCCAAGCGCCTCAAGTTCTTCCGCGCTGGAGGAGCAGGAATGGCTGCAGCCTGCCCACGTCTATCTGTCTGTCTGTCTGTCAGTGCCTGGGAGCTGCGTGTGGCAGTCGGGGCCCTGCTCGCCTTTGGCTGTGCATCCCCAGCGGAAGGGGAGAGCAACCTCTGCTTCCTGGCACGGGGCTGATGTAGGGCCATGCTGTAGAGCCGCGTTCGGGGCAAGGTGCATCCCCGAAACTGTGGCCGAGCAGGGAAACCTGTGGCCGTGCTCCCGGCTGCCCCAGCGGGGTGAGATTTGAGGGGAAGCGGCGTGGGTGGGGGTGGGTGTCTCCCTGCCCTGGGGGGTTGCTCCCGTTCCTCTGCGGGGATGAGGTAACGTCTGCGCCTGACAGGAGCGAGGGCGGCTGGGGGGAGCGCCTGGGGGGTGCCTCCCTTGCCCCCCTCCCCGGCCCCAGGCGAAGGGCTGGACATGCCTGTGGTTCCCAGCCAGACGTGGGCTGCCTGGCGGGCCCTGACTCACTGCTCTCCCTTCCCATCCCGGGACTGTGGGGACGGCTCCGAGGGGCGTCCAGGCTTCCTGCCGAGGCTGAGCCAGCACTGCCTCTGCCGTTCAGCGTCACGGGGATGGGG